CATCTGGTCCGTATTTTCCCGGGGGCTCCCTATGCCCCTCTTTTTCTTTCCTAAAGTCTGCCAAGAGTTAGTACCCTTGGACTTTTCTTTTTTAAAAAAAGAACATTTATGTACCTTTTACACTTCGGGAACTGGGGCAACGCTCTCACTTGCCGAGCACGCAGCGGGGGCCGCGACATTCTTTTTCGTATTTCAACATTTAAAACAGTCACCCGTAGTCCTCTTACACCTTTTCAATTTTTTTTGGGCAAAAGGGAGTTTTTTCCCCCGTTTGGAAACCCCTCCTTTGTTCTCCCTTTCCGCAACCCGGGACTACAGACTAATGCCTCCCACTATGCACATCGCTCTTACTAGTGCTTTTACAAAGTGATGGAAGTCTGGTAAATCGACGTTTAAGTGGTATTTAGAGACCACAACAGTCTCTCCGTAGAAATATGGCTTTCTAAGGGCCTTCTACCAAGACCCCTTCTACCTTGGTTCATTGTTCGAATGCCTTTCAATAATCACTCAGTTTTTGCCATATTTTTTGACCTTGAAAAGGATATGACAAACTTGGAGAATAATATTTTGGGCCCCAGGCCCACCCCCTTAGGCCCCGAGGAAATTTCCCCCACCCTTTCCTTAAGACTTTTTTAACTGCAGACATTTCGGGTTTTCGAGTCAATAATGTGTTTCCCCCGGATTCATCCAAGCTGAAGGAGTCCCTCAGGGATGGTTTTTGACACAACGCTTTTTCTCCTTGTATAAATGATTTGGCTTCTGTTCTTCCTCCCAATATTTGGTCATCACTCTATGTTGATGACTTGCATGCTTGTCCGGCGTGTCAACTTTTTGCCGTTTTCTCCGCAGCAGCGCCGTGTTTCCCCTTTGGGGCCCCCACGCAAGGGTTTTAAATTTTTCCATACCAAAACTCACCAGATTACTTTTACTAGCCTCTGCATCTCCATCATCCTTTGTATCTCATGGCTCCATATCCCCGAAAGGGCAGTCAGGGTTTTTACCTTTTCTTTTACCGTCGGTTATCCTGGAAAAACCCCACATACTCTTGAAGGCAAATGTCACACCGGGTAAACCTCTTAAAACCCCTTTCCATCTTTCCTGGGGACTGATCGTCGAAAAACTGCTTCGCCTACATTCAGCCCTGTTTTATCGAAAATCATTTTGGGGACCCGATTTATTTTACTGCCCTCCTTACTCTCTCTACCTTTTTCCCATACACACCATGGATTACGTTTATGCCTTGGTGTTTTCGCTTTTCCCCTGTTGAAGCCTCATGCAGAAGGAAGCGTCTCACGATCTTTCCACAATCCTTCCATTTATGAATTGTCACCCTTTTTAAGATATTCTTTTTTTGTTCGCCGCCCCTTTTGCTCCGTCCCTTTTCTCTTCGCCCAATTCACTCTTGTTTCCCCCCCTTTATTCCCATTTTTGTGTTCATGTACATCTCCTTTTCCGTACCCCCCTGGGAAGTTCCAGCTGTTCGGTTGTTCTTTTCACTCCCTTGCCGAAAGCCCAACTGCCATGGTGGCTCCCGCTCCTTTTTCTTGATCACTTTCCCCCCATTCTCATGCCATCGCTCTCATGCCTGGCTCTAAGCTTCAGACGGCGTCGGATTCACAGCAGTGTTTCCACGCGCGTGCGGGGCATTTACTATCTTCGGCTAGCTTTTTTGCGAATTTTATGTCATTTTTACGCACTTATTCCCCTACCTCTATGCCTGTGGGATCATTTTTGGTAGTCTCAGACTCCCTTATGCCACAGGCTATAAAAAAATTTGATCATCTCACCCCCCAGTTCTCCCTATCCCACTTTGGCTTGCCGTATCCACCAAAAATAAAAATATTGCTTTGTTGGGTCCCTGGGCAGTTGACGTACGGGCAAAGAACACAACGCTGCGCGGTCGCATACATGACCACCAATTTCCTAAAAGGTGTTCCTTTCTGGGCTATTTTGCTGCAATAGCTACCCACCCTTTAACCCTTGGCAAAAACGTGGTCAACCGCTCGGTAACAAACTTATTTGTTAAACCGAGCAAAAGGGTTTCTGGCGTCTTCTTGACAGTGCCGAGGTTTTGGGACCACCTCTCCCCGCCTTCGCTTTTCCACACCGTCTTACCCGGGTATCTCATGGAGAGCACCCTGTTTTTCTGTGAGCAGGTCAAGTTCCCGTATCGATTAGCCACATTCTGTTAATGCCCTTTTTATCAAGAGCACGCAGAATTTACCCCTTTTCGCGTCTCCCTCTACTATCCCCTTTACCTTCCCTTTTTGCTGATGGGCCCTCCTTTAATCCGACCTCTCATTGACTTCTTGACAACGGTGATTTACTCCACAAACCTGATGATGATACCTTTTCGCACTCCCCTCAGCCCTTTCTAGCTCATCTCTTGCTGCCCTTACCCTTTCACCATCCACTGCCCCCCTGTTCTCCGTAACCCCCATTACTCATCCATCCCCTTTTACCACCTGAACCCCCGCTTCCTTCCCGCCCTGCAGCCTATAACCCTTGTGGCTTACGTTCTTTTTGATTATAATAATAATTAAAAAATGGCAATAAATGCCAACAACAAGTCACACAACTATATTAAGTTAGCAATAGAAACAGCATTAAAAATACAATAAAACTAAGGGACACACGAGTACACTTATTTCTTACCTAAAATATTAATATTTTTTGTGAGAGGGGATGGCAGGGTGTTATTGAATAAAATCAGAATGGCACACCTCATCCCCTAACTTTTTCCCCCTTTAAAAGGTTACGACTCCTCTTTTTATCACAGCTAAGCTTAGACGCCATCATCAATGAGAGCCAACTAGTTAACGAAAGAGTAAACGAGAGAGAGAACGAGATACAGAGTTCAGACAATGTAAGAATACAAACTGAACAGGTAGTGGGCGATCACTTGGTCAGGCGAAATAAATGCGTATTAATGTGACTACTTTTAGTTCATTCACGTACGTTTGTAAGAGTTTGTAAAACATTTACCTCAATATTTTTTTATTATAATAATTACCTCACAATACAGATACTCTTACATTGTGTACGAGTTAGTACAGAATAAACAAACAGCAACACACCATTTTTAGAGTGAATGAAGATATTATTATTATTATTATTATTATTATTATCATAAAAAGCACTAAACCCACAAGGGTTGTGAATTGCTATATACATGTATAGAGTGAAGGCATACCGAAAGATTATTTTTATACAGTTATCCCCCAGTTTGATTAGAGAAAACATAATTCTTCCGACACTACCTACACAGCCGCTTTGTAAACAAATCTCATATTTACGTCAGTTTTTATTCTGTAAGTGTATGTACCATGCTTATATGCTATGTAACGGGTTTTGTATATAATTTTGAGGAAAATATCATAGATGGATTAATGAAAATGCCTATATTAATGTAAAATAAGACATTTAGTCTACCCAAGAGTGATTATTATTACGTAGTATTGGCGTCATGAGTAGAGAGACTTAGCGATTTTAATGTGTACCTGCACACCGGCACAGTGTGTAAGTATATTTAGGTACAGGTACACATAAGTATAATTATCAGAGTACATATAAAATACGCGGTAACTTTAAAACACTTGAAATTTTGGAAAGTTTCCTGACATAATAAATGCGGTCACGGAGAATGTAAACAAACCGAGTGGGGCATGCCATATTTGAAAGACCGCTTGCCGTATAGCAAATTTTGGTCATAATTTGACATTGCCATATTAGTGGAACACCGTAAGGCGAAACGCCATAAAGCGGGGCCCTACTGTATGTATTTTCTTTGATTTAACCCTTTCACTGTCAAGACCCCTGCTCACAAACTTACTCTCAGTGTCGAAGAATTTAAAAAAAAAAAATTCCTTATGAAATGATAGAGAATCTTTTCTCGATGGTAATGACACCAATAGTAATACATTTGATGGAAAACTTATACTTACACTCTCTCAAAGTTAGTGGTCTTGGCGATATACATGCATTGACGATTTTGCTCTCTTTGAGCCCAGTGTTCCAGTCGACCAAACTCATAGCTATTTTGCTAGAACTCCTTTTGTTCTATCAACTGAGTACAAGAAATTTCCCATTTACTGATTTTAACTACCCAATAAAGTGATCAGAAATTGGTAATTTGTTCAATTTCATATACAATTTAAGGAAGGTCAGTTTCAAAATAGGGTCCAGAATTAACTATGCAAACATTCCTAGCACTAAAATAACATTTTCTCTATTCATTGGTCACATCTCCAGGCCCCTCTTATATTATGTTTGCTTTCCATTTTGAATTTTCATTCACACAAAAAATAGATTTACTGTTATGCAGACTACTGCATTATTGTAAAAATGGTATAAATAATATTAGCGCATTTGTGAAAGCACATTAGACCCACCAGTTGATGTGTATTGGATGTGTGATGTGATTTGTTTACTCTCGAACATCAGCAAGAGTCGAACAAATATTTCCGATACTTTGAGTTCAATTTCTAGGTACTTTTGTAAAACCATTCAAATCATCTATAGTTCTGTATTATATCTTCCATTCTATCAAATGAGACCAAGAAAACAAGAATAAAACCATAAATACCATACAAAAATACACCACAAAGTTGCTGTTTTCAACGAGAAACAGGGTCTGAGTTTTTTGTTCTTATGCACTGCGTGCTGCAGGATTTTTTTTTTTATGCTGCACACACTAACCACTCAGACCCATTCTCTCGTATGTAGGCCTACCAGCTTTATCATACAAGATTGGAAGCTGCTACAATTTTGGCATACTATTACGGGACCAACACTGCTTTGCAAGCTGTAATATTATGGGACCAACAGTGAAATGGTTAAATAAATTATATTTCCTAATGGATCAAAACTTCAGGGCTGTATAACCCCTAACAGTTCTAGTACTTTTGAGTAATAATCATCATAATAAACATAATAGACTAGGGGCATTTATGATTTTGTATACTCTTATTGTAAGAATTAATAGGACTATTATTTCTCAGATTCATAACATGTATTGGTTAGATGGAGGTCATGCAGGTGGTAGCAAGACATGGATTACGGCACCTGCCATCTTAAAGTCTCTTGCTGCTTTAAAGCACATAAATATCTTCATACATGTTACTCCTTATCAGGTAGGAATATCATTTTTTTATTTTATTGGTAAACAATTTTGAATAGTGATTATAGTACAAATCCAGATTCAATAGAAATATCGTTGAATAAATAAAGCTCTTACATTACAGGTACGAGATGAGCAAAGACCATGGATAAGAAAGGAATGTAAAGCATTTTATGACATCTTGCGTAGAGCAGGAGCCAAGGTCAACTACTCTCTCCATTTTGAAGATGAGCCAGCTTCTTTAATATTGCATTTTAGAATTCTCAACAAGTTTATCTGAGACATCCAGTATTGTTCCCTCTACAGCAATGTAAATTATGTTATATAAAATTGTCGAGGGTTTCTTACAGGATACTGGTCTCAATTTTCAGTAAGATAATCATGTTCAAGCACTTTTAAATAATAATGTGTATTTGGTATACATTATACTGACATAAGCATTATTTGCATCTTATATTCTAATTACATTCATGCGGAAGCACTAAGCCCATAGGGGTCATATGATGCCTGGAGAATGGGAGGTAATCAGGTTTGATCTAACAATGGTGACTGATAATTCCAATCCCATGGAGCAAGAGCCCTTCACCACCATCAAGGCACCCCCTGAAGAATGAAGGAAAGATAGCAATCAATAGTAAGACAGTATTGATAATAGCTCCATGCAGCAAGTTTTAGACAGAGGGCTTGGGTAGTTTCCACAAGGGACATGGTATGGCAATGCCAGTTGTTCAGGAAGAGAAATTACAGGAAGGTGTAACAACTTACTAAAAGAGCATTACAGAATGTGACAGACTTTTTTTTTTTATACAACACTGGCCACCTTCTACTGAGGTAGGGTGACCTTCACTCACTCCATCACAGTCTTGCTAGACGTGTGCCAACATTATAGCTCAGATCCCTCCTGCAATATCCCCACCCCTTCAGAATGCAGGCACTGTATTAACCACTTCAAGGACTCAAGTCCAGCTAACCAATTTCCCTGAATCCCTTCGTAAATGTTACCTTGCTCACATGTCAAGTTGCAAAAATGGTCACTTAGCCTCCACTCCTGTCTAAAAAACACACACACACACACACTCTTGTTGGATGTCCAGCAAAGAACAACTTTAATTTCTCTTTCCTGGGGGGAAATAGACAGGGGAAAACTGGCAGATTAGCCAGGAATGGGATGAAATGATAAGAAAGTGATCACTATCTTGATTATTTACCAGCATCCAGTCTAACTCCAGCACAACAAAAATTTAAATATTTGAGATCAGTATATAATTGAGTCCCACTATACACGTATACGATAAAAAGTACGTGTACTGTATACAGGTAATAAAGTTGCCAATAGGACCCTTCACAAAAAAGAATGGCAATTGCATTTAAAATCCCCCGACCCAAAAGTAGGATTGGTTCAGGTAAAGCTCCTCTCAAGGAAAGTGCCTTGATGCTGGTAAGGGGATCTTGATCCAAGGAATTTTGTCTTTCCATAGATCAAACCTGGTTGCCTCCCATTTTTTCCAAGTGCTATATGACCCCCTACAGGTAGTGTTACTCCCACGAATGTAATAATAAAAAGAGTCGGGCAAGGATGAATCTAGGTTTGCATTGTGCGTAATGGGAAGGAGACTGGTACCAAGAGCAAATTTTTGTACCCTCCAAATAAGCACAAGCTGTTGTACAAGCCACTGTTTGAATTGACAGTCTGGTACAGGTTGGCCATCACTAATCTGGCATCATTGGGACCTATAGTGTGCCGGATTAATGAGTTTGCCAGATGACAGAGTGGTTAGGTTAGAATACACTTAATTAACCTATCAATAGAGAGACTGCTGAAAATAAATGGTATAAAATACCGACACAATGGAAACATAAACACACATGCAGTTTAATGTGATCCTTTATTGACCAATAAAGGATCACATTAAACTGCATATGTGTTTGTTTCCAGAGACTCTGCTACATCTTCCTCATTTTCATCACTGTTTTCTCCTCCACTGGCTTGCTGCTGTGGATTTACAACCATCTGCACAATTTCTGTATATAATGCTGAATTTTGAGTCAGTATAATGATGAAATTTGAAATTATGCTAGCCAAAATTAGTGCCAGATTACTGATGAAACCGGGTAACTGATTACCGGATTAGTGATGGCCGCTCTGTACTGTATATGGAATAGTCTTTAGAGTGTACTCAAATTGTAAGAGGTATCAAAACAAAGGCAGACAGGAAGGTCAAAATGATGAATACAGTGGACCCCCGGTTAACGATATTTTTTCACTCCAGAAGTATGTTCAGGTGCCAGTACTGACCGAATTTGTTCCCATAAGAAATATTGTGAAGTAGATTAGTCCATTTCAGACCCCCAAACATACACGTACAAACGCACTTACATAAATACACTTACATAATTGGTCGCATTCGGAGGTAATCGTTATGCGGGGGTCCACTGTATTACTTTCTTGGAGGCATACAGGAGGAAAAACTGGAATATAGCATCCCTGTATCCTTTTATCTCCTGACTGTAAGTTTTGTGATGCCAGTGATGGGCTATTGATCCAAGGAATTGGACCTGCCCTCTCCTTAGATTGAACTTGAGTGCCTCCCATTTCCCCAGGTGCTGTATAGACTCCTGCAAGTTTAGCACTACCCATGAATGTAATAATAATGTATTTTCTAATATTTCAGTGTAAAAACTTAAAGGAGGTCCCATATTATGAGAAAGGAGCTCTTTATCTGAGGAATCAGATCTATCCTCCTTACCCTTATCAAATTTGATTATCTCAACTCTCCCTCTCTCTAATAGACCTCTTTAGTGGGGACATTATTTTTTTGTTTTTTTTCCCTTTTGTGAAATCCATCTAAACAGGAAAGTCACCACTGTCTGGTCTGTTCTAATGTACTAGCTTCTGTTTGCAGTGGTAGTGATGGGAATTTGACCACCTTAGGGCATGTCAGGTAACCCTTGGTGAAACTTCAGAAGGCTATCAGGCACGAACTGAAGGTGTAGGACTCCTGGCATTCTTGCTAGTTCACCACCCACTTCTATTATTAGACAACTGCACACTTAGTGCACTTGTCTAAACAAGTGGTTTTGTTAAACCTTGCTCAGTCAGTTCTAGAGGTACTGTCTTGGTGTTGTGCACCAGGTATAGTGAAAGGTAGTTTCCAGGGAATAGCAAGACTACCTGATAGTCATTAACCCTTTCAATGTCGAAGCCCCTGATCACAAACCTGCTCTGTGTCGAAAAATATTCGAAAAAAAAAACAAAAAAAATTCTTGCCAAAATTTTAAGAATATTTTTTGAGTGTTTTAAAAATATGCAATCAGTACTTACCGAGATATAGAGGAGTGAAGTTGACAAAAAGTGAACCGCTTATGGCAACATCGACAACTTCCGCTCACTCGGTAATATTATTTTTACTTTTATTTTTTAATATTTTATTTTTCAAGTAACTTTTGTGGCTGGTGAGACCAATATGTATAATGTGTAATTTATATATATCCACTTGTTGTATGCAACACAATAACCACACAAACATTATCATTATATTGTTTACAAAACCTGTTTACACAAACCAACAATAAAAAAAAAGCTGTTCATTACTATTGTTCTATAATACATATTATTTATTATTATTATTATTATTATTATTATTATTATTATTATTATCACACTGGCCGATTCCCACCAAGGCAGGGTGGCCCGAAAAAGAAAAACTTTCACCATCATTCACTCCATCACTGTCTTGCCAGAAGGGTGCTTTACACTACAGTTTTTAAACTGCAACATTAACACCCCTCCTTCAGAGTGCAGGCACTGTACTTCCCATCTCCAGGACTCAAGTCCGGCCTGCCGGTTTCCCTGAACCCCTTCATAAATGTTACTTTGCTCACACTCCAACAGCATGTCAAGTATTAAAAACCATATGTCTCCATTCACTCCTATCAGACACGCTCACGCATGCCTGCTGGAAGTCCAAGCCCCTCGCACACAAAACCTCCTTTACCCCCTCCCTCCAACCTTTCCTAGGCCGACCCCTACCCCGCCTTCCTTCCGCTACAGACTGATACACTCTTGAAGTCACTCTGTTTCGCTCCATTCTCTCTACATGTCCGAACCACCTCAACAACCCTTCCTCAGCCCTCTGGACAACAGTTTTGGTAATCCCGCACCTCCTCCTAACTTCCAAACTACAAATTCTCTGCATTATATTCACACCACACATTGCACTCAGACATGACATCTCCACTGCCTCCAGCCTTCTCCTCGCTGCAACATTCATCACCCATGCTTCACACCCATATAAGAGCATTGGTAAAACTATACTCTCATACATTCCCCTCTTTGCCTCCAAGGACAAAGTTCTTTGTCTCCACAGACTCCTAAGTGCACCACTCACCCTTTTCCCCTCGTCAATTCTATGATTCGCCTCATCTTTCATAGACCCATCCGCTGACACGTCCACTCCCAAATATCTGAATACATTCACCTCCTCCATACTCTCTCCCTCCAATCTGATATCCAATCTTTCATCACCTAATCTTTTTATCCTCATAACCTTACTCTTTCCTGTATTCACCTTTAATTTTCTTCTTTTGCACACCCTACCAAATTCATCCACCAATCTCTGCAACTTCTCTTCAGAATCTCCCAAGAGCACAGTGTCATCAGCAAAGAGCAACTGTGACAACTCCCACTTTGTGTGTGATTCTTTATCTTTTAACTCCACGCCTCTTGCCAAGACCCTCGCATTTACTTCTCTTACAACCCCATCTATAAATATATTAAACAACCACGGTGACATCACACATCCTTGTCTAAGGCCTACTTTTACTAGGAAATAATTTCCCTCTTTCCTACATACTCTAACTTGAGCCTCACTATCCTCGTAAAAACTCTTCACTGCTTTCAGTAGCCTACCTCCTACACCATACACCTGCAACATCTGCCACATTGCCCCCCTATCCACCCTGTCATACGCCTTTTCCAAATCCATAAATGCCACAAAGACCTCTTTAGCCTTATCTAAATACTGTTCACTTATATGTTTCACTGTAAACACCTGGTCCACACACCCCCTACCTTTCCTAAAGCCTCCTTGTTCATCTGCTATCCTATTCTCCGTCTTACTCTTAATTCTTTCAATAATAACTCTACCATACACTTTACCAGGTATACTCAACAGACTTATCCCCCAATAATTTTTGCACTCTCTATTGTCCCCTTTGCCTTTATACAAAGGAACTATGCATGCTCTCTGCCAATCCCTAGGTACCTTACCCTCTTCCATACATTTATTAAATAATTGCACCAACCACTCCAAAACTCTATCCCCACCTGCTTTTAACATTTCTATCTTTATCCCATCAATCCCGGCTGCCTTACCCCCTTTCATTTTACCTACTGCCTCATGAACTTCCCCCACACTCACAACTGGCTCTTCCTCACTCCTACAAGTTGTTATTCCTCCTTGCCCTATACACGAAATCACAGCTTCCCTATCTTCATCAACATTTAACAATTCCTCAAAATATTCCCTCCATCTTCCCAATACCTCTAACTCTCCATTTAATAACTCTCCTCTCCTACTTTTAACTGACAAATCCATTTGTTCTCTAGGCTTCCTTAACTTGTTAATATCACTCCAAAACTTTTTCTTATTTTCAACAAAATTTGTTGATAACATCTCACCACTCTCTCATTTGCTCTCTTTTTACATTGCTTCACCGCTCTCTTAACCTCTCTCTTTTTCTCCATATACTCTTCCCTCCTTGCATCACTTCTACTTTGTAAAAACTTCTCATATGCTAACTTTTTCTCCCTTACTACTCTCTTTACATCATCACTCCACCAATCGCTCCTCTTCCCTCCCGCACCCACTTTCCTGTAACCACAAACTTCTGCTGAACACTAACACTACATTTTTAAACCTACCCCATACCTCTTCGACCCCATTGCCTATGCTCTCATTAGCCCATCTATCCTAATACATATATGTACACATATAGTCACTGGACATGTTCCTAGAATTGCTACAGCTTGTGGAAGGTTGATGTGTGTGGGTGGTTGCAGGTGGTCTTTGTTGTGGATGTGCTGAGTCGCGGCAAGGCTGGTGTCACATGACGCGTTACACAATCACCACCAAGCATGCTGTCTTCCCCACCACCCACATGGAAATAAGTCACTTTGTCTGACTTTTTTGGGTTATCCTAGCTTGATGGTCGTCTGGGTTTTCAGCACTATTTCTGGTAACCTGGGCATTGCTTTCAGCAAAAAACTCCTCAAAGCCATGAAATTCATCTTCACTGACACCTCCATCTGTGTTAGAACTGTCACTTGGGAAGAGAAGAGTCCCAGTTCACCGGGGTGTTAGGTATTTCTTACTGCAAAGCATGGTAAACAAAGCCTACTGAAATGGGACTCCTACAATGCACCGCTGGCTCCCTGACTCTCTTTTATACCAAATTTTTAGACCCATTCTCTCATGTGCAAGCCTACCAGCTTTCTCCCACTAGATTTGAAACCGCTAGAATTTTGGCATAGTACTTCGGCATCAACACTGGCTTGTAAGCCGTAGTACTATGGCACCAACAGTGAAAGGGGCCACTGACAGCTTATGCTGTCAGTGGCCCTAAAACCCCCAACAAGCTGGGCCTGATGATATTCATGTCTGCATGCTGAAGCATTTATACCACATGGCACTCGTCTTACTCTTAAGCCTTTTCAATCTCATTTAGTTCCAAGTAGTTCTCTTACAATAGAAAACTGCCATTGTCCTTAATCTGCTTGAATATGCATGTTAGCATTGCCTTGGCTAATAGTCACTTGGTTGTTGCAGTTTTTATTTTTTTTTATCTCTAAAAGGATTATGGTGCCACCTTACATTACAGCATCTTTTCCCAAGTCCATTCCTTGGGCCTCTGAGGCAATCTGCTGCATTTTTTTTTTTTTATGGATTTCTTGTCAGGGAGGCACTTGTGTGTCCTGGGTAGTGATAGCTTTTTTATCCCAACTTCACCCAAGCTGAAAGTATCCTTCCTTGTTCTCCCAATATTTGGTTGTCAATATTGATGATTTTACTGTGTGTGAAGATGCTGATTGTCATCTTGTATCATCCTCTCTTCAGAATGATACTGATCATGCTTCCCACTAGGCTACCTTTCATGGGTTTTTATTTCCAGCTAGCTTTCACAAGACATCCTGTTGTCCCTCAGACTATTCTGTACCTGTATGGTTCCCATATTCTTGAAAAGGATAGTCAAATTTCTTGGTGCTGTTGGATCGCTAACTGTCCTAAAAGCCTCGCATAATCTCCTTGGAACCTGCATGTCATAGGCGCCTGAACATCCTTAAAATTATAGCCCACCTTTCTTGAGAGACTGATACTTGCCCTACTTTGCCTTTATTCCACTCTCATCTTAACTAGACTATGTATATTCTTCAGCCTCACACATTACTTTTTCCCATTTATCATTATGGGTTATAAGTGTGTCTCATGGCTTTCCATTATTCCTCATTATCAAAAAGAAGCGCTACACTTACAAGGGTCATACAGCACTGCTGGGTAGGGATAATGGATAGCAAGTGGGAGAGGGATGATTATTAGGTCATGGAGTGCAGCAAGGCAGTGGATAATGCAGTGGTAGAGGGTAGCAAGAGATTGAGGTAGAAAGGGCTGTGAGGAGTACTAGAGGCATCATCATCAGAGTTTGTGCAGTAAATCAGTTGCTGTTAAAAAGTCAATGAGAAAGTCTGAGTTAAAGGAGGGTCCATCAGCAAGAAGGAAAGGTAAAGTAAGGGCAGTAGAGCAGTGATGGCGTTGGAGGTAAATTCTGCATGCTCGCTGAGAGAATGGGCAGTCCAACAGAATGTGGCTAACAGAAACTGGAACCTGACAATTCTCAGACTGGAACAGGGTGCCTCTCCAAGAGATACCCATGAGTAAGACGAGTGTGGCCGATGCGAAGACAGGAGAGAGTAATCTCCCAACCTCGATACTAGTGATAAAAAGATGGCCAGAAACCTATACTCGGTTTAATAGAATGTAGTTTATTTTAGAGCAGATCAGACCAACGTTGTTGCCAACAGGTGCGAAGGTGGGTAGCAATTGCAGCAAAATAGTCTGTGAATGGAACATCTCTATATGAAACTGGGAGGTCGTGTACTGCTGACCACACAGCAATGTCTGCCTGTTCATTGCCCTGTATGTCAACATGGCTGGGGGACCCGACAAAAAACTATCTTTGTGCTTGCTAGAGATACGGAGTAACCAAAGTTGGATACGAAGAACCAGGGGATGAGGTGTATCAAATTTTCGTATAGCCTGCAAAGCACTAAGGGAGTCTGAAACGACCACAAATAGTGACACTGGCATAAATGCAATACTGATAAGTGCTACGAGAATGGCATACAATTCAGCTGTAAAAAGGCTAGCAGGGGATAATAAACGGCCTTGCACGACGCTGTCTGGAAACACTGCTACAAATCCAATGCCGTCTGAAGACTTTGAACATTGGTGTACACTGCGATGGCCCATGATTATTATAATAATCAAAGGGGAAGTACTAAACATGTAGGATTATACAGCATCTGTGGGGGA